ATTCATTCATGTGAGCTGGGTAGAACAGGTATGATTTTCTCTTTTAGCCTGAGAAAACAGAGTGTCAGAAAGATCAACTGATAGGTTGAAAGGTCACATGCCTGTAGGTAACAGAGTTGAAAAGAACCGAGTTGCCAGACACCTGGTCCCCAAATAATTCCGGATACCCCATGCCACCCACTCCTGGGCAGACCGCAAGCACCGTGTGGCACTGTTCTACAGTTAGAGGGAGCAGGAAGAATTTGAGCAATTTTCAAAACTGTGCATTTTTCATTGTAGTTTAGTATTAAAATGTGGAGGCATTAAACCGGTGGCCTATTTTCATTGCATGTGTCAACTCTGTTGATAAGAATGCAAAATGGGCTCTCTCACTTCCTGTTTACCACAGCAGCAGAATTATATGTGGCAGGTTTCCAGAAGCAGAACTGTTTCATACTCAGAAATCATTTATTCATGGCACACTATGTTTTAAAATTTCTACCTGGATCAGCTGCTTCTCTTCCGCTTGGCTTATGCAAACATGGTACAAACCAGATGATCTCTTCTCCCTGGTCTCCAGTCAGATTTGAGTTGTCAAAGACGGGCTTCCAGTGGCTTGAGAGCTGGTCTCAATTCCAGGACAGTTTTCCTTATTAGAGGAGACCTTCTGTTTTCTGCATAGATTGCCACAGCGACTCTTGGTTCGCCATAGGATGAACAACGTTCTGAGGCTCTAGGTCATGGAGCAGAGTGTGAAGTCTGCAAAAACCTGTTTCTGCAAAGCATTATGGCTGTTGAGAAGGAACCAGGAGGAAGCGAGAAAGGCAGAGAACTCACTTCAGGGAACTGGTGTTTGCTGGATTCCAGCACTGGCATGAAAATAAAGTCTCAGCCCAGTCGAGGGAGTTGGCAATTAAAAGACTCTGATCTTTCCAGGGTGGGAGGGACCTGGACGACAGCCTGTGTTCCTTGGTCAGGCCTGGCCGAATGCTGACTGTCATTTCCCTCCGTCTGCTTTGTGTAGATTCTATTCTTTTTCCAACAGCCAAAATTATCCTTGTTGCTAGGCATGTGACATTGGCAGGGAAGCTCGGAGTCTCAGAAGAGTGGAGCACAGAAGAGTCAGTGAAGGAAGCAAGAGGGTGAACTTGGGCACGGCACTCGGTGGCCCTCAGTGAAAGGGGGGTGGGCAACATTGCCGGCCGGCTTCAGGATAAGCTCTTTACTCCCCTCTCCCTTTCCTAAGAGCATAAGCTCACAGACTTGAAATTATCAAATGAAAACATATTTTACTGTTAAAATGAACACAGGAGGTGAACAATAATGTGGGGCTAAAGGGAAGGGGGGAAAATGTAAAATATATTTCCAGGATACGTGTATGTATCCATGAAAAATTTTATGTGTGATATACAGACCCTCTGAAATGTGACTGTCAAAGAAAGGGAGACAATGGAGAGATCAGAGCTAAACAACACAGTTCATTTGAAATTCAATGGACTCATTTCCCATTTTCTACAGAGTAGTCTTGAAATTGCATCTTTAATGTGCTCTCTGAACTTCCACGTGTGAGACACAGTCTGCAGCAGATGCTGGGGCTCCCGTGCTATCTCACCACAGATCCCTTTTCCTTTTAGAAGCAGCTCACGGGATCACTGGGAAATGTTCAATCAGAAAATACCTTAAAGTTCCTTCCAGCCCTGAAACAGTATGATTTCAGAAGTCCAGATTTTTAAAGACAAATTAGGATGCTAAGGAAAAAATGTTCTTTCAGACTTCCAAACCCTTTAAAAACAAGCGTTACAGGTACTTATTAATGGATATACTACAGGGAACTAATAACTTGGATGAGTGAAACTGAGATTCATCCTACTCTCCTTATTAGCTGATCACAGTCACCACATTCTTCATTCGCCGCTCAGCCCAGTGAGTTCATCTGTCTGCTTATTGGATTTCTGCAACCCATTTCAATTTCATGAAAAAAAAAAATACTTTTTTGTCAAATGGGCTTTACAGATAAAGTGGATACTCCTGCATCAATGAAATTCAAGAGCTGACAGATAATTTAATTTTGTAAATTAGACCGGCATGATACAAGAAATCTTTGCGTGTATGTGTTATGTTTAACTGTAAACAAGACTGTTTTTAAGTCATCTTGGAAACAGAACCCATGCTCACTTTCTTGAAAGAAGTATGTGAGAGGGCAAAAGATAGAGGTCACCTGGAAAAGCACAGATCATTATTAATACTTAGGACCACGCACGCTGTTCTCAGTGAGTACGGAGCAGTCTCGGCCATGCCCTGGAGTTACCGGTGGACCATTATGAAACACAAGAGCCTGGGCCCCACTCCAGGAAATTCTGACTCAGCAAGTCTGGATCAAGTCCAGCTCTCTCAATTTTTGTAAAAGTCCAATAGTGAGGGGCACCTGGGTGGCTCATTTGGTTGAGCGTCTGACTCTTGATTTTGATTCGGGTCATGATCTCAGGGTCATGGGGTTGAGCTCTGAGTCAGGTTCTACACTGGGCATGGAGCCTGTTTAAGATTCTCCCTGCACCCTCTCTTTAAAATAATAAATCTTTAAAAAAAAAAAAAAAAGTCCAGTGGTGATTTTGATTTGTAGTAAAGGGCAAGATCTACCGTATACCTTGCAGGATGTGGTGGGTAATGTGACGTGCTACCTAAGTGCCCTGACCATGGGCTCAACTGCTGCGTGTGTTGACTGCTGACCACTCACAGTGAAGTCCTTCTCCAGGAACTGTCCTCCTTGCCCTCACCCAAGGTCATGCTTATTTCCTCAAGTCAGCCTGTACCTGATGACTGGTTGGGGGAGGACAACAAAGGCCCAACCCACTTGCTCCAAACTGTGGCAACCCTGCAGGGGTCTTAAATCCTACCTGTCAATGAACTCAAGTCATGTGGTATGGGGAGAGGCACTGGGTTGGAAGTCCAAAGGCTCGGGCTCAAAGCCATTTTTGCCTATTGCTGTTAGTGGCTTAGTCAAGTGACATCACCTCTCGAATCTAACATTTGTCTCCACAAATGGGGACAGCAACGATAATAATAACAGTAACAATCACAAGGACTACATGATACACTTTCAAGAGTAGTTGTGAAGGTTCAGTAAGAGTCTCAAAACTACTGATCATAAAAAATACTGGTAGTTACTGTTGTAAAATGTTCTTAGTTCTAAAAATCCCCACTATTATGTGTAAAAAAAAAAAGATACTAAAGTGCCATGTGATGCTGGAAGTAAAACGATATTTCAATCCCCAAATGTGTATGTACTTAACATTCCCCACTGCATGTGTTCAAGGAATTTAAAAGGTAATGGTGTTGTTTATTTTGTTGCCAAAAGCAGCCATGAAAAGAAGTAGTCTGGACGGAAGGACAATTTGGTGGAGAAAGAATAACTGTATATCCCCATGTAAAGGAATGAAGTGCGGCCACTACCTCACACCATGTATGAAAAATAAGATGAATCAAAGACCTAAATGCAAGGACTCAAACTACAAAATTCTTAGGAGAAAAGAAGTGTAAATCTTCATCATCTTGGATTAGGCAGTGATTTTGTGGCTATGGTACCAAAGCTTAAGCAATAAAAGAAAAAACAGATAAACTGGACTTTACCAAAATTAAAAACTTTTGTGTTTCAAAAGATACTATCAAGAAAGTATTAAAGAAAACACCCTGAATAAGAGAAAATATTTGTAAGTCATAACTCTGATATGATACTTGTATCCAAACTATATAAAGAGCTCTTACAACTCAACAATAAAAAGCCTAATTAAAAATGGGCAAGAAATATGAATATATAGTTCTCCAGAGATAATACATGAAATGGCCAATAAACAAACAAGCAAAAATGCTTAACATCATTAGTCATGAGGGAAATTCGAGTCCAAACCACAATGAGATATCATTTCAAACCCATTAGGATGGCTATAATCCAAAAGAGATAATAGTAAGTATTCACAATGATACAGAGAAATTGGAGCCCTCATACATTAAAGGAATGTAAAATAGCATAGCTGTTTTTGAAAACCTTCTGGCAGCTTTTCAAAACATTAAACATAGAATTACCATATAACCCTGCAATTCTACCTCTAGAGTAATAAAACTATGTCTGCATAAAAACTAACACAGAGTATTTATAGCAGCATCAATCATAATAGCCAAACATTGGAAATATCCCAAACATCTACCAACTGATGAATGGGTTAGAAGAATATAGTAAACCCGGGAAATGGAATATTACCTGGCAATAAATATAAATGAAATACTGTTAACATCCTATAACAGAGGTGAGTCTTAGAAACATTAAGTGAAAGAAGTCAGTCACAAAAGACCACATATTGTATGATTCCATTTATATTAAATGCCCAGACTAGGCAAATCTATAGGGAAAGAAAGTAGATTTGCAGTTGCAAGAGGATAAAATAAGGAGAAGTAGATAGTGACTGTTAATAGACACAGGGTTTCTTTCTAGGGTGATGAAAATGTTCTAAAACTGACTAGGGTTCAGTTGCACAAGCCTGTGAATATGCTAGAAGTCACTGAATTGTACACTTTAAGTGGCTGGATTGTATGGTATGTGAATTATATTTTAATAACATTGTTACTAAAAAATAATCCCACGTGCTGAAGAAGTAAGACAGAGGATAACAAGCATTTAAATATAACCCATGGAAAAATACAATGACTGTTTTGCTTTGATTTTTAAGTGAACACAGTTCACTGTCTGCCACTAAATAAATCAAATCACAACTCCAATGGCGTGGGAAAGAGACTGGCCAGGAAAAAATAACTATTGCCCTGGAAAAATTCCGATTGCTTAAAAAATGGACTCAAAACTCTCAGCAACTGAAATCAGATTGAAGGAACCGATAATCTACTGCTAGCTGAACCCAACTTATGCCTGCTAGGAAAAGACAGTATTATAATATGGGCTTTCCCAAGTCATTTTAGCAGTAAATGCAAGAACATCTGCAGTAACCACTCCTACCCAAACGCCAAACCGTTACCTGTGAGCTTTCAGTATCCTCTGTGCAATGGCATCACCAATCTTGTTGAACACAACTTTGTCATCAGCACAACTTATGAAAAACTGGTTCTATGAGAAAGAGAGTGACCATGTAAGTCTCTCTTATCTTAGTGGCATATAGTATATATATGGAAAATGTCCTCTAGAACACTACACTGATATTTACCAAAAAACCGTTTCACATAGCCTACATGTTCTTATTACTAAAATAATTTATGAAAGGAAATGACAGAATAAAAGAAGCTTCATCTCACTCTGCGCCTCACGCATTTCAAGGTAATGTCACATGTCCTATCTCAGTCCAGTGGGAAGCTATGCTATTATTTCATCATGTGAGTTCTTTGTAGCTGACATCTTTAGGAAGGTAGAACATTCCAAGTTTATCAGCAGAGACCCTAGGTTTATAAATTCACGTGTTGTGTAAATGCTCATGATTTCAAGTCCTATACTGGCGAACTTTCTGTCTCATGCTAAATTTACCTTTTTAATGGAGTAGATGGCAGAATCCTGGTCTAATATTCCCCACCCATTCTCCATCATTTCCTAGTATGTGCTTTTGCCTTGTCTCATTCATTCAGGTCACTAATTATTTCTGAACGTCTATTTAAGTAGCTTCAAATCAACTTCACAAGTATGTTTCATACATATAAATAAACCAAGAAACTGGAAAAAAATGTTTTTCTTTTTTTCTTTAAGTAAACTTCACTCTTCATTGACCTCTTAAACACTATTTAAAACTCTTACTAAAAAACCCGGGTACAACGTTATTATCATAATGTTATAAAAGATTTAGCTGCTGCATAAAGGAATGCTAGTAATTAGGTACAAATATGATCACTACTACATACTTCCATACATTGTTATAACACACCTGTAATTTATAAGTATAATCATCATAATCTTTCCTAATCATCCTAAAGAGACATAGAAGCAATGACTCAAACTGTGATTATCATCCCTCTGCCACATCATCATTTTTACGAGTTTACATGTTTTTATACTTAAGCGCATAAATCTTTAAACTGCATCCATTAGACAACCTTACAGGAGACACTGCTCAGGAACTCATCTGAGAATGTGTCTTCCCTTCAGGCATCCAACAATAAACATTTCAGTGGCAACCAAACCATGTTTGTTTTCTGTGTTCGTATTACAGAGAAGCTTCACATTCCTCAGCAGCTGCGAACACTCGTGGGCCACGTGGCACGGCCTGTTCTCTTTTGGGGCGAGGTTAGGTAGGTGCCAACCACGTAGCTCAGCTAGAGGCGGAAGAGCTAGGTCCGTGCCCACAGCCATGTGTATCCACATGGCATTCCAGAGCTCACTTAGGACTGTGGTAGCACGAATAAGGAAGGCTGACTTAATGCTACTAAAAAGAGATGAAGCAAAAGGACTCTGGGTAATGGATGAGGCAGCGGCTGACATCGTCTATTGTGATGGTATAACTGATGAAATTATAATACTAATTGTATTAGTACTGCAATGCTCCAGGCTTTGATAGAGTTCTTTTCCTGTTGTGTGGTTCCACCCAGGACACCATATTGCATTTGCCTGCTCATTTTTTTAAATCAGCTTCTCTTTCTCCAGGCCTGTGAAAGAAACAAAGCTCTAATACTTTCCTACTTGCCCTTCTCACTGATTAGTCACCAGGTGGAGGGGGAGAGGGGAAGGAACTTAGGGCTAGGATGGTTTCTCCAGGAAACCCATTTCCCTCCATACATTTAAAAAAAATTCAATGGGAAAGACAAGATGAAAATAAAGAAGGGAGTTGTGCTCTGATTTATTTTTACATTATCGTGACTGTGACTTCTGATTTTTTTTTTTTTTCAGGATTTTCCAGGTGCTCTGAGCTAGGTTTGTATCTACTTTGAAGTGCAATTAAGGTTCCCAAACTAAACTCAGTGTCCCTAGGTTTTCTCCTCTTCTCTGAACACAAACTCTGGGATCTGATTATGCTTTAAAATGAACAACGGTTCATACAGGATTGAAGAAGGTGGAACTTGCCCTCAATATTCTCCCGTCTTTTTTTTCCAGGTTGCTTTCCCTGCATGCTCCCTATTCCAATACTGCCAAACTGGTGGCATCCAATTTTAGCAACTTACCCTTGTGCGCTCTCCTGACATAGCACACGCCTCCTACTTTGACCCTCCAACTCAAGACAAACAAAAACTTACTCGTCCGTCTTGTATTTCCGGCTAATAATATTATAGTGAGTTGACACACTTTAATAACAAGAACTTGGGGGACTACTACTAGGGTCCCGAGTTGATGAAAATGCGAAGTGCATGTTAGGTATGCTGGGGAGGTAAAAATTCAGGTGACTCGAATTGGCATCTCAACATATGCCAATTGATGTAGCAGATGCGAGTCTGGGGACCCTGCAGTCTCTGTAAGCTGTTTATGGGAAGGCAGGCTGTCCCACTAGTTCACGTGAGCGGGACTTACTTCTATATAGATATAGTGCTTGCTGTTCTCTATCACGTGGAGGTAGGCAGCGTGGATGGACTCTTCGTGGTACTTTATTCCGGCCGACCAATCAGCAGCAGAGCGCAGCAACTGCAAGGCAGCAATCAGAAATGGAAGTGAGCGAACAGCTGAGAGGATGCCAGACGTATTCATCAAACGAAATCAATCCTTTTTCATCTACACTACCGAATGAATATATCCTCCTCCACCCACGACCGCTTTCATTCAAAACTGGGAACCATAAAGTGTAGTTTCTACAGAGTATTCCGGAAGTACCTCTTCCAGTGGCTATGCTAGTGGCTAGGGCCACTCCTGGCGTTCTTCTTCCATGATGCTTCCACAATTACACCAGAATGCCCATTGTTCTGGGGCTTTAGTAATAGGACCACTTTTACTCTCCAAAGTGTCCCATTTTGAACCATACGATAGGGTCACCCTAGCTCTATGTGCTGGTTCCTTTTATCCCAAATAATACTGTTCAGATTAATACATTTTAAAACACAATAGGTTCATTTAGATATAGAACCTTGACTTTGCCTTTAATCAGCTGATTCTTGGGTATCTCCTCATTGCTCAGTTTTCTCATCTGCCTCCCCCATTCAGACCCTCACCTGCTCCCACCTGGATATCATGAAGACCCTCCAGCTCAGATACCCAAGTATATGTTAAGTACACTCATACTTAGCAAGACTGCCTGGTTCAAAGCTTAGCCCATCCCCTCAGTAACTTTGATCTTGGTCAAGTTTCTCAACCTCCTGGTGCCTCAGATTTCTGATCTATTAAATTGAATATCTATTTTATAGGGTGCCTCAGATTTCTGTTCTATTAAATTGAGTATCTACTTTATAGGATTATAGGGAGGATTAGATGAATTACCAGGAAGCATGAAGGAGGCCTACCACCTGGCAAGTGGTATGTAAGTGTTTGCTATTATTAATGAAAACATTAGAGGATGCATTTGAGCTGCGGCACACTGGGTCAGAGCCGCTGCAGAGAGTGTGGCTGTGCCTGGGACAGTGGACCAGAGGACATACAAGCCTTTCAAACTAAGAACCACTGTTCATCACTTTTTCCAGTATTCTATGACTGCAGTAGACAGCAGAGAGTAGGTGCTCAGTAAATATTTATTAATTGATTTTCCTTAAGTAATAGCATGACACTGCAGAAGAATCACTGTAAAAAATAGATTTGCGATTCCTGATTTGAAATGAATATGAAAGTGTCTCTCATGAGGGCAACTGAAATTAAAAACAAAAGAATGGCTCCATATTATTAGGAATCTGTAAAGTGATCTAGTATGTAACTGGTTTTATGTCTGTGTTCATATATATATATACATGTATATGTATGTATATATATATATATATATATGAAAGAGCTCATAACATTCTTGATCTAATCAATAACTTTAAAAGTTGCATCTCTAACACTCAGGAAATTCAAATTAGTACTTACTAACATCATTGAGTTAATCCTCAAAATCTTACTCTGTCTTATGAGGTATTCATTACAAAGTAACTTCCTTCAAAACACTTATTTAATTTTATCAGATGAATATGTACTATGGGAAAGTTTTAGTTGTGAGCAGCAATAGTCAAATATCTCAAAAGAAAACTCACAAGGAAAACAAATAAATATGATCCACACTGGGAAAATACCCTGATTTCACGTAATCTCTAAGGAACTGCATTACTGCCCATCAGTAGAAATGATGTTTGTTGTTCTGAGCAAATGGACGTTTCAGCCGCTAGTCCTCTCAAATTTAAGTTGAATTTGGTTGCCAAGGGGCATAGCTCTGAAAATGTAGGCTACCTCGAGAAGGTTCTTACCCTCTGCTACACATACTATCAGGTTCTACGGAACTCTGGAAACAACGTATAAAATGGAAACCTATGCTGCCCAGATCGGAACTCTGGTCCAGCTCTGCCCTTACCAGCTCTTTCACTTTTAACAAGTCATTTTAATATCAGGGAGGCTTGATTTCCACCACTGTACAACTGAGATCTCTCTCTCTCTCACACACATAGACACACAAACACATAGACATGTGCATGCGCCACAGCTGCTGGGTGAAGAAATAAATCACCTAACACCCACAGAGCTACGGTATGGGGCACGTGGTAGATACTGGATGTATAGGATTCGAGGTGAAGTTTATATACCACCTTTAGTGGTCATTTCTCGTGTTCCCCTCAAAAAGAAACATGCTTTCCTTTCTCACTCTCTAAATTTGCCCAGATTCAAAGATTTAATAAGCTCATTAACATAAGATATAAATGAGGAGTGCCAAATAGATTTCAAGTCTAATCATTCTGAAGTAGTTTCCGGAGCAGCTATGCCAAAAAGAGACTCCCTGGAACGAGACACACTGGGGAGGAAAGCTAAGTTTGATGACGGACAGCTCCATGAAGGGAAAGCAGGCAAGTCACGTATTTGCCATCTTTCCTATGAAAGATACTGGTAAATGCTTCCCTTTTAAGAAGGAAGTCCATTTGTAAGCCAAAAGAAGAACCTGAGGGAGAGCATAAGCAGCATGGGGTGGGGGAACCTGATACCCATTAAACCAGAGCATGTGGGAGGTTGCCCCCCTCCCGGGGTGGGGGGTCAGCATTATCAATCCCGTTGTCTGAGTCCAAACTCTAAAGTCATCATTTTGTATTCAATTTGAACATATCTTTTAAGTAATAGAGAAAAAAAAAAGAACTTGGTATTACTCTTCATTTACTATTGTTCTAATTAGTTAAAATCTATCTCCACAAGAAAAGCTAAAAATACAGATTTCCCTTTGGTCCTGCCTCTACCTTGAACCAGAGACTCTGAGGGGATATACAGATGAACTCTACTGCTTTACGTGCTTCATGGTCTTGAAAGTTTGTAAACAGCCAAAAAGGCCAAACCCATTATGACTGACTCCCTTCTATTTTAAATTTAAGATTTACTCTCTCCTTTTTCTTAACTGGTCTGACCAACTTGTCCTGCATTTCTGTTTTAAACCCGTGGAACTCAGACAAGCCTCAAACCCTTGCTTACATGTGCAGAAATGGGCCTTATATGGAGAATCAAATCTAACCCTCACTTTTCAAACCTCAAGTCTGAATACACAATTTTAAAGCATATAAAAAGACCATGTTTCTAATTTTATGTTTTAGCCTCTAAACTCTAACTAGAACCGGTCATTTTCTTTTGTACCCTGTCCTATTTTTTAACTTAAAAGATAGGCTTCTCAAGCAAAATAGGCGAAGGGGATTAAGAGGTCAAACTTCCAGTTATAAAACATATAAGTCACGGAGATGGCATAGTGGATAGAGTCAATGATATTGTGATAATGTTGTATAGTGACAGACAGTGGTCACACTTACCATGGTAAGCACTGAGTCATGTACAGAATGGCTGAATTGTTTCATAAAAATAGACGGATACATAGACAAAGAGGCAGAGAGAAAGGTAACCTTTTCTTTTACCACAAGGCCTGATCCCCTTATATACAGTGGGCCCAAGTTGAATGTATGGATTGAAATTCAGAAATCTCTTCTTGAAGGAAAACTTTCAAAACTTCCTTAGAATTTGTCCCAAGTTGCTTTTCTCTTACTGTAATGCTTTCCTTTCCTATAAATTCAGCACATATCTTAATTTCTTTCTATTTCCCCAAACTCCCAAGTCAGTCATGGACCAGAGACTGTTAGGACAAGAGCCATTTACATGTCTCTCAAGCAGAAGTTGGCTTCGACAGAGAAGCCCATCAGTGGCACGGGTCAGGAGACAAGGGAAGCACTCAGACTGTTGAGCCTTATTCTTCCAGTCTGTACTGAGGAGAAAAGCAGGCCAGGAACACCAAGGAATGAACTTTGTTCAAGAATTCACCTCATACTATCAAGCCGTTCCTTCTGATAACCATTTTTGTCCACTGAGGGTTATCCATTCACCACACAACATGGGATGATCCTTTTGCCCGAACAATAGGGAAGAGTGGAGCTTGAGGCTGAAGAAGAGGGAGAAAACAAACTTTTGAAGAGTAAAACTTAAGTGGAGAGAAGTCCTAGGAAGAAAGATGTAGATGTGGGCTCTGGGAAGCCAGAAAGAAACAGGAAGAGAGTTGCTCGGGGTGGGGGGCACTTGGGGCTGCTGTAAGAGAAGAGGATCCTACATGGCAAGGTCGACATGCAGCTTTGCCTTGCCGGAGCCGTTGGCCGTTACCACCAGCCAGACCTCAGCGGAAACAGCCTCTGCCTTGTGGGGCCAGACCACTCGACACCCAGCCTCAACCTCACCGTGCCTCCCTAGCCTATTTTAACATCCCAAAGTCTTGCTTTCCTCCTCTGTGAAAATAAGAGGTCACACAGGAGTCCAGTTCCGAGACTGGTGAACACTGAATGAGACAATTCACAAAACGCTCAGTGCAGTGCTGGGCAGGGGGTGAACACTCCCCGTTCCTGGGGCTTCTCCTGCCAAGAACCACGGCAGCAAGAACAGAAGTGCTCCCGCATGGAGACCTGGTCCCTAAATGGGAAACAACCCCCATGGTAGGAAACTGCCTTAGAGGTGAGTGAAGTGGCTTTCTTTTACCCCTCCCTACCGACTTTTTCACAACACAGAACGTGACAGTCCTTTGAAATCTACATTGATTCCTACGTTGACATCCTGCAGAGAGTCATGTGGCCGTTTTCTCCGAGTGCAGGAACAAGTTTTTCCACTAATATAATTCAGATGTCATTCATACTGGCCTGTATAGTTTCTTTTCTGTTCAAAAAAAAATTTTTTTTTAACAGAGAGATCAAAGACATAATTCCAGCGGAATCATTTCCCTCCACTTGGCAGGACTTCTCAACAATGATGGTCTAAGGGTTGGCTTTTCTACAATAAGCTGCCCGATTTAATCAAGAGGATTGTTCCCGATACTGAGTACGTATCGATGCTATCTGGCATCAGGCATCGTCTTTTACCTTGATAGACATGCTGAGTGTCCTCTGTCTTGATAGCCATGATAGCCCTTGGACATCCAGATTGTTCTTTTTCGGGAGAAAACAAGTTCTTTTACTTACTGTCTGTACATGCGTGGTTTCAGAGCCATCTTTCCTCTACCCTTGGGCCCCAAGCCTTTACCCTGCTTTGTCTCCTCTAAATGTTCTTGGCAGGCTTCTGAGAATGCCCAGCTCCGAGGCGAAACACCCAAGAATATTTTAAGTGTCTGCGGAAGTTGCTGAAGTCAGCTTTCAGGTTCAGATGGCCTTTTTTTTAGGAGCAGAAATTCGTGTTGGTGGGGGCAGCCTCCGGTCCCCCTGCCCTGGCTCTCTTCTCCCTCACTAGTCACCCTGGCCGCTGCTGTCAAGCCTTCTGCAACCGCTGCGCGTCACGGCTGCATGAGATTACCAGGACGACTGGACCCGACGTTTTGGTGTTAAAAATATTAAATCACTGGGTTCCTTTTTGCAAATAAAAGAACATGAATCTTACAGACTATCTATTGTGTCAAATGTTCTTTCTCTCCATTTCAATAAATATATGGCATAAAGATTTTTGGATCTAGAACTACCCTTGTGACCCATCCAGAAAAATGTCCACTGCTTTGTTCCAAACTCTTGAAAACACTCGGGAAAGCTTGAGGACTGAAGCTAATACTGACATAATCCAAGTGCTATTGGCACGGATTAATTTAGCTCTCGCCACCAACCCTATGAGGCAGATACTGTTATGATCTGTTTTATTGATGAAAAAAATGCATATGGAGATGTAATTTTTCAAGGCTGCACAGCTAGTATGTAGCAAAGCTGGGATTTGAACACTCTGACTCTATAACCTACTTCTTCCCCTTGCTACATCCCCTTGTTCCTTTTAAGTTAATTAAAGCTTGTGGGCTCTAAATTATGTTACAAGCCATAAACTGTAAAAAATTATGCTAAAATTTTTTTTAAAAGAGTAAACCTAAAAAAAAAAAAAAGAATAAACCCAAGAAAGAACTTTATTAAGTAGCGTCAAATTTCTCAACCGAGAGTATGTAAGAGTTATCTGGCTATTGCCACATGACGGCTGAGAGAGTGAAGGGCCTAAAAGTATTAAAAGACACTAAACTTTTTAAAGATCAAGTTACCTACAACGCACTGGGTCCCATCTCCCGGATCCCTTCCAGATTCTCTGAAAAACCAAGGATTCAGGTAGATTATTGCTTTGGGCCTCTAAGCTCTATTCTCTCATGACCTGAAAATAATAATGTCTAGAACAAGACGAATAAAGTGGAAAGCCAGTAAATAACACAGAGTGAAGCAACACTGGTCAGAACTTTACGGAAATGGAGAAATGAAGCAGGCTGGTTTCTTTTCTTTTTTCGGTTTCTGGTCCTCTCAGACTTTCCTGACTTCAAAAAGTTGGGACTGCCTGGCTGTGCCTGCCGCTTTCACAACTGGAGTTATTTTGGCAGTTCTGAAAAACATCTTCTGGCTACCATTGACACTGCTTAAATTGTGGGGGAGTCCTCTTCAAGAAAAAGAATACTAATTTACAAATGCAAACTTTGTGCTAGAATTACAGCCGCAGCCTCCTTACAGGTGTCCTTGCTTTTACTCTCTTTCCAGTCTAAGTTCTTGGTATGTATAAACTTTAGGTCCCCAAGGGTGTCTGTTCAGAGAGATGGAAACAGACACATGACAAATGAGAGATCCTCCAGCCATTCAGCTGGGAAGATCCTCATAGCACCTTCATTCTTAGCAACTCCATGATACCCATCAGCGTAACAAAGGCACTAAGGAATCCTGTGTTTAGAAAATCTGCCAAAACTTCTCTGTCCACGGAAATATTTTTGTTGGCATAGCTGTTAGCATTTCACAGGTAAAACTAGGTTTGTAAACTCTGATCTGGGTGAATTTTCATAAAGCATTCCTATATCCTAATTCTTCCAGGATAGGGGGAAAAAAAGAAGTCCAAAGTTCATTAATGCCTTCGAGGATCAGATCCAGATTACCCAGGCCGGCACTCAGGGGCATCCCCAATCGGGCCTTAAGCCTCTCAGCTTTACCTGCCAACACGTCAAGAGCAAATGGTCTGTGGCAGTTGATCTACCATCCCCGGAGCAGGCAGGCTTATTACTTACAGAAGACGCCCAGCTCTCCCGTCCTCACTGCCAGACCCTCCCAGCATGCTGGGCCCCACTTTCAGGCTAGCAGTTAGTCCTGGACCACACCTAGCATTGTGAACTGAATAGTTCAACGTCACAGCTTTCCTTCTCCCAGCTAACCGAGGCTTCCAGAGGCACAGAACTTTTTTTTTCTTAAAGATTTATTAATTTCAGAGACAGAAATAGCAACAGAGAGCAGGAGTGGGGAGGACAGGGAGAAGCAGGCTTCCTGGTAAGCAGGGAGCCCAACGCCGGGCTCGATCCAAACGCTCTGGGATCATAACGTGAGCGGAAGGCTGAAGGCAGTCGCTGACCGACTGAGCCACCCAGGCATCCTGAGGCAGAGAATTTTTGTCTTCTTCCTCAACTGCAAGTATGCATGGATGACTTCACTGTGCAAACAGATAGCACTTAATAAACATACGCTGACTGAATAAATGATAATGAGTAAGTCTTGGCAGACCTCCTTTCAAATCAACTGGCCCTAGAGCTTCTGGAGTCCGGGGCACCCCAGCACACGGAGGACGGACATAGAAGCATATCCGGGAAACCCCGGATCCAGCCCCACGGGTCAGTGATGCAGAGAAGGGGACTCAGGAGTCATTCGATAGAGTGTACACGCAGAGGATCTATGTACCGTGCCAGGGAACTGGGTGGGAGGATATAAAACAGGGTCCAACAGCAGGTAAGAGAAGACGTATGTTTATGAAATGCCAGCATACAATTTCGTTTGCTGATCACAAAAATAGAATTCCCAGAAATTCCTTTCCAACAGATGCTTCATTCGCATCTGCTAACTTCAATAAGTTGATCACTGAGTCGATTTTAATGCCATCTCAAATCCTAAATTAAATTCTCTTGTTTTCTTAACATGAAGGCTCCTGTGTTATCTTACAGCATGAGTAATTCTTCCCTCCAAGTAGAATAACATTAAATGGGTTCATAAAATATTCATTAACTTACATATGAACATATATATATATCTGTGCCTCTAAGTTTGAATTAATTGTCTCCTGTAGCCTGGGCTAACTCAGTATTTGCTATAGGTATTTCTCTCAAGTGGTCTATCTCTTTGATTGTTCTCTCAGCTGATCTGTGGCCTGAAATATCTTTTGATTTCTTAGCTACAAATACCTCTACTTGTATATAGTACAAAGTAACTGATTTAGGGATTTCATTTACGTAATCATAGTCACTACAATCCATGTCCAGATTATATAAATCTGTATTAGTGATGTCAGTAGCAGACTGCCAGATCTTTACTTAAACAATCCTTTTTTTTTTTTTTTTAAGGGGGGTTGGGGAGGGGCAGAGAGAGAGGGAGATTTTTAAGCAGGCCCCACACCCAATGCGGGGCTGATACCACAACCTGAGATCATGACCTGAGGCAAAAATCAGGAGTCAGAGGCTTAACCAACTGAGCCACTCAGTTGCTCTTACCTAATACTTTTGATGCTGATAGTGATGACCTTGAACAAAAGGCAATATCAAAGGTGGCCCATCCTAGTTCAGCCCCTGACGATCTCAAGATACTTGAGCTGTGGTAAAGGCGGACAGGAGCAGGATTTCAACTCCACCCCTACCTACAACTAACCGGTGACCCTGGACAAGTCTCATAGCCCCAGTGGGTCTTAATTTTCCTATGTGTAATTTGAGATGCTTCGACTGGACGTGGTAAAATTATGGGATCCATTAAGCAAATTCCATATTCTATTAAAAGAGCCTCTAAAAGGCATTTGGTTAATTAGGAACTAAAATTAGATTGAACTATAACTAGCTTCTTAGATATGAAGTTTCAGCCACATTCCTGGTGCTTCCCCGGAATCCGTCCCTGCTTCACTGTGTGTATCATGTTGCTAGGGTGACTTCAGAAGGAATTAAAGGACAAGCCTTTCCTTGACTGGCCTTTCCTAAGAATATTTATTTATTTACACATTTTCCAATTATGAACGCATTCACTGGAATCCTTGGGACATAAAGATTCTTAACTTACATGTAAACTTAATACATTTTTGAGGAAACTAAAATCAGACCCTTTAGAGTGAATGTTATGAATGGAGGACAAAGAAACTTTAAAAAGTATTTTTTAAGTGTAGATGGGCTACTCCAAACTGATTAACCCTCTGTGGAGTCATTCTGCAACCTATCAGTGATAATATCAAACATAGTAAAAAAAAAAAAAAACAAAAAAAAAAAACTAAATTTTTTAAAAAATGCAAAAAGATAGGAATATAAATTTCTTGAGCATTTGATGTTTTTACAATTTATGCATGAAAGATTATACAGATTAAGAATACACATGCTTTCTGTGAGACCCTCTCATAAGGGAAAGGCTTCTTAACAACGACTGTTTTATATTTCAGTTATAAAGTGACTCAGTTAAGAAGATTATCCATCACCGACTCTAGGATAACTGTAAGACGCTAAGACAGCTACAGCGGGAGGAAGAGAGGCATAAAAGAGATGAGTGTGTGGCTGAAGAAATTGACAATACAGGTGATATAAAAGGTGTACACGTAAACATAATGGTGATTACGCTACAGTGTAGAATTAGACACGAGTGATAGAGGTAACACATGTAAAGGAAGTAAAACAGTGCATCTGTTATATTTATAAAAGAGTTCTAAAAAGAGAATAAATGGAATACACTTTAAATAGGAAATATAAAATTAAATTTAAAAGGTCTCTTCAGATTTGCTTTGGCGTCATCCTCATTGAAAAATCTGAAACCAGTGTTTCACTTAATCCAAGAAGAGTAATTTTACCCATTAGCATTCAGTGAAAAAAAAAAAAAAAAGCCAGCCTTACCTGTACATTGGCATGGACGGACGCAGGCACTTGGTATTTCAACTCATGGGCTGTTGTTTGAGATTTGGGAAGCAGGAAAGGGTAAGAAAGGGACCGATATTTTGACTTCATAATCTAAAATAAAGAAAAACAGGTAGAAAAAGAAAAGACCCATGTGAGAAAATAGCTCCATTCCTCCCTACTTTGTGATTATAAAAGAAATGCAGAGTCATTTGAATAAGAAAAAGAAAAAAAACGCTCACAGTGGAGCATTGTAATAGATTATTTTTGTGCTCTTTCTGTTTTCCAGAGACAGAGAACTCCTCCCCACTCCCTGCCCTTTTTTTTTAACCTTTTGTAGTGGGCATGTAACGTTTCATATTTTTAAAGAAAGCTTATATGCAATCTAGAGTTACAGAGGTATATAATGGCAAAAATGGTATTTGTTTTGTAACTGATTTCTTACTATGTTGTAGATATCTTGTCATAGCAATATAGCACCGTATATCCTATTTTTAAAACTTCCTAAGAAAATCATACAGAACGATAGTTTGTTAACTAAATTCCTATTAATGTACATTTCAGTTTTTCCTATTTTTTCAGATTAGAAGAAATATCAAAATAAATTACCTATCAGATTATTTCTTTTTTTTTAGATTTTATTTCTTTATTTTCCAGAGAGAGAGAGACAGCACAAGCAGGGGGAGCATCAGGCAGAGGGAGAAGCAGACTCCCCACTGACCAGGGAGCCCAACACAGGACTCAGTCCCAGGACCCTGGAATCATGAGCTGCGCCGAAGGCAGATGCTTAACTAACGAATCACACAGGCATCCCCAGATGACTTTAATTTAAATACCCAAAAAAGATTTTCTGAGTTAAAGCTTGTATAGTTTTTTTTTTTTTTAAAGATTTTATTTATTTATTTGACAGAGAGAGATCACAGTAGACAGAGGCAGGCAGAGAGAGAGAGAGAGGGAAGCAGGCTCCCTGCCGAGCAGAGAGCCCGATGCGGAACTCGATCCCAGGACCCTGGGATCATGACCTGAGCCGAAGGCAGTGGCTTAACCCACTGAGCCACCCAGGTGCCCCAAAGCTTGTATAGTTTTTTAAAAGCTTTCTGGAGTTTACCGATTTATCCTGCCAGCAATAGAATATACAGGCATCGGAAATCCCAACACCAACCGCAGATACCAGTAGGTTTAAAGTAATACTCCTTCATTTATTCATTCATGCTCCCTTAATTTTTGTTAAAAATATTTCCATTATTTCTCGGACTCCATGCTCAGTGGGGACTCTGCTTGAGATTCTCTCTCCCTCTCCCTTTGGCCCTCCCCCACCACTCTCTAAAATAAATTAAAAAGTCTTTAAAAAATATTTCCATTATTTCTAAAAAGTTGTAAGGTTTGTGTAAATAAAAGCTTATGTAAATGAAAGATCAGATGAGATTCTAAGTTGTTGATAAAACAATTTCTTCCCAAATTATCAAGGAGACTAATTCCTTGTCATAATTTATAGTAAATGAGAGGGAACCTTAATGATACCCGGAAGGTAGGTACTTAAGTTCTTTCTATATGTAATGAAGGCATAAAACACAGTCTGAAGAAAAGGGAAATGGCCCCATCTTCGCACACTGCTCCCCTCACTCAGAGCCGCCTCCCAGAAGCCTGGACCAGTATGAACCCAGCGTAATGCCAGGACAGGAAGGACTTCAAAACTCGAGCTCTCCCATCTAAACAAGGTCCCTGCCCCTCTACAACAGCCCTCCAGCTGACCCACCAGCCCAAACCAGATGCTTGATCAACACTGAATACCCAAAATGTGAAAAGGATCACAACAGGCCCCAAAAGTGCCATCTATCTCCCTGTGCTCTGGCAAACAGGCACTCAAGAGTGGATGGGCTACCACAGCATCTTCTTGCCCATCCTCTAGAAGTTTCTCCTCTTCCAGGCGCTCTCTATGTGGACAGAATTATGATAAAACAATCCATATACCTTCGTGAAGTTCCAGCGCTGGATGAAGTGACGGGCCACGTCCCGAGCCGCCTTCCCATGGACTGCAGAGCCAATGTCATGCCAAGGCATCCGGGGCGTGGAGTATCTGTCAATGAAATCTGCCCAGGGGCCCCAGGCACAGATCATCACTAACTGCTGGGCTGGGGATGGAGCCCTCTGATTCCAGCACCAACCAGACCATGATACAGCAAAGCAAACATGGTAACATTCACTGTGCCTCTCATACTGGGCTTGGGTGGGACAACACCTCTATAGCCAAGGGAAACATAGATGCACACTGAAGGGCACAGGCCCCCACGGACCTCCACCAGGATGTGTCCATTTCACTTCGTAGGAGATAATCACTAAGCCAGACAAGGTGTGAGTTGGTGTAAATGATCTAAGGTTGTGGACTTGATATTATATTTCTGTGTTGAAATAACCTCAGGCTATGTATACAGTCCCATCTCTATCTTCTCTTCGATCCATCAGCACAATGATAATCTGAAAATGTACCGTTTTCATGCTGGAAGATGAAGATGATATACAGAAAAGAAGATGATCAAAGGGAGGACACCAGCTCTTGCAGAATTATGTATTGTTACCCCCAAAATATGCCTAGATGAAACCCAGAGGTTTCACACAGTAAGCTACATCTCATGCTCTTTTCTTGTAACTACAAGGAAAAGTCCTAAGGTGTACGATCCGACCATAGTCTCCGAAGTTTTACCAAATATTCAAAACAAAACAAAGCAGAACAAATGACACTCTATCCCACAATGCGTACTTGCTCAGATGCTAACGAATAAAAGACAAAATATAAGCAGTCACCTGCTATCGTGGCACTCACCAGCAAAAGGTTTATCCAGTTGAACCCAGTCTTTGAAGACAAAATTGCAGTAGTCCTTTCCATGCCAGAACCTGGTTTCCCCGTGCAGCTCTCCCATGCCTGTCTGCAAACTGCGGATGGAGCTGGTATCTGGAAGGCAGCAGAGACTGTGTTCAGGTGAGCCCTGGAGAGGAGTCGGGGGAGGCTCCCCTCTCGCTCATTGTACACCTAGGGACTTCTGGACTGTTCTCTTAAGGCTCAGAACTAAGGCAGCATGTGTTCCTCCGGTCTGAGGCTGCGGGCTGGCAGGGTTTCACACTGCACACAAGTTTGTCATCCGTGGGTAGGCAGGCCTGTGACCACGCTCATTGCTGGACAATGACATTCAACATTCTTCTCTGCATCTACCAAATGACTGAAGAATGGACCACAGCGTTAACTGTGAATAAAGAACTCACTGGGAGCATCAATGAAAAAGCAGTAAAGCCAGGTCAGGCCGAGAAACATGAAAGGCAGAGGCCATGGAAAAATCACGCCCTTGGCCCTCGGCAACTGTTACGGTGCACACCCAATACGTAATTCTTGTCTTGAGCATCTCAAAAGCAAAATCAAATTTGCAGGCAGCCCCTGTTCCAGCCCTGGAATTGTCAAACTCGGTGACACGGATATTCATTTTCTGGGGTCAGAAATTCTTTACACATAAAAGGAAGAATTTGGCCTAGATGGCACCTAAAATCTTTGGGCTCTAACATTCTACGTTCCCAACATCATAAATGACATCCATTAAAAAATATCACAACAACACACAGAATTTACGATCACATAGGCGCAAAAGCAGCCATCCACTACAATGTTTCACAATGAGCTCTGCTGGGACCATTTGACCTCAGGGTGAATACTTTGTCTTAAACAGTTTGTACATTCCTGGGATATGCTGACCACAAAGACAACTAAGCAGGAAGACAAGCAGAGCTACAAATCACAAATGCAGCGCTTGGCACACAAGAGGCACAAAACAAACAGGACACTGGATGCAAAACGATTCATTAAATGAATACATGGTAGCACGCGCCAGTGAGACTACCGGACTCCCCCCCCCCCCCCACCAACCCACCGCCCCCTGGCCCCTGCCACCACATGTCCCAGCACTGTCTTTCTAAAGTGCAGACTGCTGGCTTAAAAGCATTTTAAGACCACCTGCTGCCTATAGGGAGTCAAATCTTAAAAGCTGCATGTGCACAGAAGGCTCTTCCCAAACGAGTGCCAACCTGCCTTTCTGAGCCTTTTCTTCCCAAAGCCAGGCACACCACATTTCTCATAGGATTTTGAAAGGCGTGGTCTGTTACGTGTTCGTGCAGCTGCACGGTCCTTCGGTGTGGAATGATCTCCCCTCCCTCTCAGCCTCAGCTTCACGTCCTTCCAGAGCCATGTGAGCTGGTACCTGCCCTATGGATACCTCCCAGATCCCCGTAGGGGGAGGCAGCCACTGGAGGCGTTGTAGAACCCTCAGTGGCCACATGCCCTGGGGCCTCTGACTCAGTGTCATGACCCTGTAAGGAGTAAGGAAGCTCCCCACCAGCCGGTAAACCCCTCAGGGCTGGACAGTGTACTTTCACCACTCGGTGTAGCTCTCAGTAGTCAGTAGGCAATCAATCAGTATTTGAAGAGCACAGGTTTTTGTTTTGTTTTGTTTTTTTAAAGATTTTATTTATTGACTTGACAGAGAGCACAAGCAGGGGGAGCAGCAGAGGCAGAGGGAGAAGCAGGCTCCCGCTGAGCAGGGATCCTGGGATCATGACCTGAGCCCAAGACAGACGCTTAAGGACTGAGCCACCCAAAGTCCCAGCAGAGCAAAAGTTCTTAAACGATCACCACACACACTGCTAATATTGAGCTACTCCGGGCTCAATGCGGGGCTTGATCCCATGACCACAGAGATCATGATCTGAGCTGAAAGCAACAGTCGGACACTTAACCAACCATGCCACCCAAATGCCCCATCAAGGTCTTTTGTGCCCAAGTGAAACTGACATTGCAAAGAAGCTAGCAGTTTATAGCCTCAGGAAAGGAAGTTATTAACTCAAGTATTCAGTTTCAGTTTCTCATGAAGAGTCACTCTACATTTAATTTGGGTTTCAGGTCCTATGAGACAATATAAATTTAAGTCATTACACAGTTTAAATGTAGAGCTGTGCTCTTTAAACTCCTTTAATAGCAGACCCTTACCCCCCCCCCCCCCCCCGCAACACAAATTCTCATGGAACTTCAACATATATATGGAAGCAGGATTTCTCTGCTTGAAGCAAGTACCCATAGCGGTGGGAGAGTCCAGGGCCCACCTCCTCAGAATTCCTCTCAGAGCCCCTGAGAAACTCCAGGGTCCACAAGTACCCAGCCACAGAAACTGGGCTCTACTTCAGTCTTCTCAATAGCACACAAGAACCATGACCTTGGACTTTAGCCACATGCTTGGGATGCAGTAATCTGCATTTTTGCTAAATCACAAATCTGAATTATGAGCTCTGGGAGGCTGATAAACTGGAACACCATTGTGCAAGCTGCTTATCATCCCTGACCCTGAGTTTCCTCGTCTGTGAAAAGGGCGATAATGCTAGTACTACCAAGTACCACCAGTGCTCAGCGGCATCACAGGCAGTCAGCACACAATAAACCAGTTTATGATTTTACCATGGTCACCATTTGTTACGATTGTTACTTATCCCTTTATGTGATCTGTTGCCAAATCCCTCTTCATCCCCACCTCCGCATTTTGGGCCCTGATTAACTTATTCGAATACTTCGTTCTTGCAAAAGCTTATCAGATTACAATTTCTAGTAACACGTGTGGCGTGGATGCGGTGCAAACAGAAAGCCAGTCCAGAAACACACTCGCTCTGCTCATGCAGCGAAAGCGGACGCCCAAGGACGTTCAGCCGCCTCACACATCACTTACCCACGTCAGGTCTAGCGAGCCCCTGCTCAGACTTACTGGAAGAGCGAAAGAGTTTCAGGTGGGGTTTTAAACCATGGATTAAATTCTGACGACTTCTACAGTGATTACAATAACCTGAAGAAAGCCAAAATTTCTTTTTTTTTCTTTTTTACAAAGAAATATATATACATCAAGTTTTCTAAACCGAAACGCAGGCTCCGTCATTTTTATAAAACGAGACAAGGCTATAAAATCAGTCACAAATTCTGTGCAACAGAAAACTGCCAAACTTTAAGGCAGACGTGGAAAGAAGAGCCCATTGACCAGATGTAGGCAATCTAATGTCTGAAGATAAAAGCTTCACGTATTTCTGGATAGGAAGAGAAAGGAGATTTCCTCTCTGAAAAGTGAAGGACGCCTAATACTTTTCTTTTTTCTTTATAACTTGGCGTTTTTTTAGAAACACCAAGTCATTCGGCTACCATCAGAAATATGAATTGTGGTTGTTATGACTCCTTCTGTAAATTAAACAATAAATCGGCTCTCAAGTGAGGCCAACAAAGCCACAAAATGGCAGGATACTGAATAAATAGGGTGACAGAGCCCCTATGACCCCATTCCAGAGAGACAGGTTTTTAAAAAGACTGGTACACTGTATCTAGCTGCGGAAGGACAGATCGTCATCAAGACACATTGTAGCAAAGACCAAGACTTACTGGAGGCGCTGTCAACGCTGCTGATGCTGTCCGCGTTGTGCATGTGGTGCTTGTACAACTGCCTGTAGAGGCTAAATTTAGAGAACTTTCTGGACTTTCCTATTCCTTTCAGTTTTGAATCCATATCATCAACACTCTTTAGGGTGGGTGGATTTTTACTAGATTCATTTTTATCTTTGAGGCTCAAGGATTCCATGGACTCTGTTGTTTCAGCCTGAGAAAATTATTGGGGGGAGAAAAAAAGACACTGTGTAACCTTCGCGGCCAAGTGATCCCTTCATTCCAGCTGAGTGAAGTTCACACTGGACGGAGGCTCTCTATCAGACACACAGTAGTGGGTGAGGTCAGCCCCCCGGGGCAGTGGAGGATTCTTCTGAGCTGTTTCAACACTCACGGAGCGAGACCAGGCGTCCCATGGTAGTTCCTCCTTCAGTAGACCAAATTCTTGAAATTTCATACCAGCTAACCTTTGTGTCTCAAACACAATTACACAAGTTGTATTCACTGTTGAGCATCTGAACTTCTGCCTCTGATAAATGTTAAGTAGTGCTTTTTCTGCCAATTATTTTCCTGGCTACTTATTCACTAAATCTCTTTTTTTTTTCCAGAAAAGTTGCCATGATATCCAGCAGTAAAACAAGATGGAGCCCATTAAAATTTTTAATAAGTGTATTGATATTTTGGTAACGGTTCGAGTTGAAATAGTGAGTGCTGCCTATGGATATAGGTAGATGGATGCTTTGGCAGCTCTTGGTTTGAAAGGTTCTTTGAGAAGTTATTAACTTCTGGTATTCAGAAAGAAGTCCCTCCGTGACTCCAGACTGACCTTGCCTCTATTTGCATGTCTTTAAGAAGGAAGATTTCAAAAGCCTTGGCATTTGTAATAAGACTGCTTATTTAACTTAAAGCCCAACTGATGCGTATTTTTGATTATGAATTTTTCTTCCAAATAGGAAATGAATTGTTTAAATGGGAAACAAAGATGCTGACTGTGAGCTAGCAAATGCACTATTGGATCTCTTCTCTCTTACAAGGGAAGAGACTGAGATTAAGAGATGCAAAGTTACAGACTTGCTGGGTGGTATTTCAAACCAGGTCTGTCCATCCAGAATAGGCCACTCCTCACTGAACCAGTCAGTCATGCTAATACTGCATACTTGTACAAATCGTGTCCCGTTTATGCAGTTCCATAAAGGTGAAATTTACTTACTGTGAAGGAACCCAGAGATGGTCCTACAGTGACACGCTTCACACTGCCCACGTCTGTGAGCCTATGCTCATTGTCATCCCATCTGCCATAGGCCAGGTCGATCCCACCCACAAAGGCCAATGACTGGTCAATAACAACAAGTTTCTCATGATGAGCCCACAGATATACACTGGATGACACATGATCTGGGTGTCTCATCACCTTCGGAGGGAAAAGAAAAACCCACATGTAATGCACTTTTCCTTCATGTTATAATAACATAGATCTGTTTTCTCCCCTGAATAACACTTTTTTTCTTCCTTTCTTTCTCCCTCCCTCCCTTTCTTTCTTTCTCTCTTTCATTTTCTTTCAAGAGTTTTTTTTTAAATTCAAGTTAGTTAACACATAATGTAGTATCAGTTTCAGGGGTAGAATTTAGTGATTCATCACTTGCTATTAACACCCAAGGCGCACTACAACAAGTGCCCTCCTTAATGCCCATCACCCCATTTACCCCATTCCCTCACCCACCTCCCCTCCAGCAACCCCCAGTTTGTTCCCTAGAGTTAAGAGACTCTTATGGTTTGCCTCCCTCTTTTTTTATCTTTTTTCCCCTTCCTCTGTGTTCACCTGTTTTGTTTCTTAAATCCCATATCAATGAAATCCTATGGTATTTGTCTTTCTCTGACTTATTTTGCTTAGCATAATACCCTCTAGTTCCATCCTCATCATTGCAAATGGCGAGACTTCATTCTTTTTGATGGCTGAGTAATATTCCTTCGTGTGTGTGTGTGTGTGTGTGTGTGTGTGTGTGTGTGTGTGTGTTATTCTATATCTATTTATCAGTTGATGGAAATTTGGGCTCTTCCCATAGCTTGGCTATTGTGAACACTGCTGCTATAAACATTGGGGTGCATTTGCTCCTTCAAATCACTATTTTTGTATCCTTTGGATAAATACCTAATAGTGCAGTTGCTGGGTCACAGGGTAGCTCTATTTTTAACTTTTTGAGGAACCTCCATACTGTGTTCCAGTGGCTGCCCCAGTTTGCATTCCCACAACAGTGTAAGAGGGGTCCCCTTTATCTGCATCTTTGCCAACATCTGTTGTTTCCTGACTTGTTATTTTGGGCATGCTTCCCTGAATAGCATTTTCTATAACTCAAATACCAAAATGTTCTATGTAACCGAAGTTCTAATTTCATTCTCAATATTTAGAAGAAGAAGACTCCTAGTTACTTTTTAAGCCTCTCAAACAGTCCCACCCCATACCACATTTTGGGGAAGCTGCCATTTAGCTAGAAATTTGGCCACATGGTTCGGTAAAAGCTCAACACAATAGCTGATTCTTTTTTCTATGTTAAAGAGTTCCATTATACCTGCTATTATTTAAAAAACTCTAAAAGTGTTTAACCAACATCTAACTCTGACAGATTTTTTAATAAGTATATTGACATTTTGGCAGCCATTGAGGGGAAATGGCAAGCATACGGATATAGGAATATACATACTTCGACAGCTCTTGATTTGAAAGATATTTTGAGATGTTATTAACCTCCTGCTTTCAAACAGAATTCTTTCTGAATGATCCCAGACTGACCTATTTTTGTATATCTTTAAGTAGAAACATTCCAAAAACTTTGGAGACTACTTTTTTTTTTTTAAGTAACCTACTTCTTTTGTGTGTGGAAAATATACATAACATAAATTTACCATATTCACCATTTTTAAATGTACAGTATAGTGGCAATAAGTACATTCATATCATTCAGTCATCCCCACTATCTCCAGAACTCTTCATTTTGCAAAACTGGAACTCTAGACCCATTGAAGGATAACTCCCCCATTCCCTCCTTCCTGCAACCCCTGGGAAACACCATTCTACTCTCTGTCTCTATGACTTTGACTTACATATTTATCAATAGAATCATACAATATTTACCTCTTTGTGATTGGCTTATTTCATGTAGAATAATATCCCCAAGGTTCATCTATGTTTTAGCATATGTCAGAATTCCCTTCCTTTTTGAGACTGAAATATATTCCACTGTATGTGGAATCTCAACATGATTGGGAGTCTGATAGTAAAGTGTCCAACTACTATTGTAGAGCTGTCGATTCTGTCTTCAATTCTATCAGTATTTGCTTAACCTAGTTTGATGGTCATTACTAGGTAGGTACATGTTTATAATTGCTGCACTGAAACTTTTATTAATATATAACATCCTTCCTTGTCTACTCTAAGCTTTTTCTACTTTAAGTCAATTTCATCTGCTATTAGTATAGCCACTCCTGCTCTCTTTTGATTACTATTTACATGGGACACCTTTTTTGGAACCAAATTAAATATATAATTGTTATATATTTTAAGCCTGCTGGAGATTTATTAATTCATTGCTTCGCTAGATCTCAAACACTGAGGAATAACTACTGATAGGCTTTAAATCTCTGATAAATATTGAATAGCTTTTTTAAAAACTGCTTCCTGTGTTTATTTATTAGTTTTTTGTACAAGTTGCTATTAAGAAAAAGCTTCTTAAATCCTAGAGGAGCTCTCTGTTGCTACCAGCACTGAAGGGGCATCACAAGGAGATCACATGTAAGAGGTTCCAGGACAATCTTTATGAGGAGCATGGGACCTTGACAGAGCTTCTGAACCCTGAAACAATTCTAAAAGGTGAGTTCTTGGCTAAATGATCAGGGTCGGAAATGTGAACTCTGCTGACTCCATCAATAGCAGATGTACAAGAAAGGACAGTATTTTATTTCTAAAGAGGATACGATGCTATTTAGTCAAACTATCCATTAAAGAACTCTACAAATAACACTGCTCCAAGCAAAACACATCTGAAAAACTACAGAATCACAGAGAAGAAGTACTGTTCAGAAGGATGAACCTAATACCTTAATATTGGGGTGTAGACGCATCAAAGTCCTCTTGCTGTATTCACTGTTGATCCCAAGAGCAAGCTCCACCTCTTTGTAAAGCATCACAAAGATTCTCACTCCCTGTTGCTGTCACGGGAGAAAACACAGGGAGGAATGAGAGCTTCTGGAAGTCGGTGAGGATTTTCTTTCTCTTTTTCCTTCCCGTGCATTACAAACTTTCCTCTACCAACAAGTATAATAAACTATTTAATGAGAATACAATACAAGAAGGTGACACGCAAGTGTATTTTAAGATACAAATATCAAAAATAAAAATTTATCTCCCTTTCATTCCCGTGACTTGTCATACCAGGAGACAATGTCAATAGGCGATTCATTAGAACCAAAAGGCTGAAATGGTAACCTCCTTGCTGAAAGTGTCTGATGATCTTATACCTCTGAACATTTTCAAACATTTGTCACTGAGCATAGTTTTTGCTGGATTCATGTTACAGGATTAGAATTTTTGGTTTGTTTTTATTATACTTCAATTAGTTGAAATAGCAGTGACATGAAACTCTGATGCAGTAAATTATAGTAAATATCCCCTAAATGTTTCTGGAGCAATTTAATAGAATTTTTCTTTATTAAAAACCATTTAATAGAAAAACATTTCTTTATCTTCAACGATGGATATATTGATTCATACTCTTAATCCACAATTACATCATTAATGTCTGTTTGTGAAATGACTCCTTCAGAAGTCAGTTTCTCTAACATCCAAAAATCCCCGAGTTTTAACAACAGCACAAAATTAACACTGATCTAACTTGAGACCCTGGTCTTAAAAGAAGATAGACAAGATTGTTGTAAGGGTCAAATTAAATCAAAAGAGCCTGATAAACTTTTGACATGCTATACACATAACATTTTTTATTAATATTAACCATCAAAAAGACAATGTCTAACAGCTGGTAGTATAAAAAAACCCAAACTCCTGGGGCACCTGGGTGGCTCAGTTGGTTTGGTGTCTGCCTTCAGCTCAAGTCATGATCTCAGGGTCCGGGGATCAAGCCCCACATCAGGCTCCCTGCTTATCAGGGAGTCTGCTTCTCCTTCTGCCCCTTCCCCTGCTCATGTGCGCTCGTTCTCTCTCTCTCTCTCTCTCAAATAAATAAATAAATAAATACAATCTTAAAAAAAAGAAAACAAAACTAATATTTTCTCTTACAGTTCTGTGTAGTGATAAGGTTTTAGCCTGTATGAATCTGCCCACACCTAAATGTCCTTCCTCCTCTCCCTGTCCAGTCACGTGGTTCCCTCACCAACATACAGTTCAGAATGTACTCCTCCAAGAAACTCTTATCTCATTTACCCGCATGTCTTGTATGACCTTTTTACTTTTTTAGCTTTGCATCCCCAGTATTGTGCAATTTGCAACATCTGAATTTGCATCATCTATATCCAGCAGCTCTGAAGGCATTCTGACACACACTGCACACACACTGGGTAATGTACCTACACCTAGGCACTTGATAGCCTACGGATAAAGGCAAGAATTTCCCCATGATACAGTACCCTCTAAAGTATTAGAAATACAGGCATATCTAATAAAACTATAGTGACAAGTGACATATCTAATAAAACTATAGTGACAATTTAGTTAGAATTTAAATTAACAATCCATGGTAATTAAGCATGGGCATAGTTCATAGTGGAAATCTGAGTCATTAATTTAAGAAGCCAATTAGGTTGAACACATCTTATTTATAAGAACTGGTTTTTTGGGGGCACCTGGGTGGCTCAGTGGGTTAAGCCGCTGCCTTCAGCTCAGGTCATGATCTCAGGGTCCTAGGATCGAGCCCCGCATCAGGCTCTCTGCTCAACAGGGAGCCTGCTTCCCCCTCTCTCTGCCTGCTTCTCTGCCTACTTGTTACCTCTCTCTTTCTAAAAAAAAAAAAAGAAAAAAAAAAGAACTGGTTACTTTTACAACGCTACAAAAATGTGAAGTAACATAGGAGTTAATATTTTTAGGTTACAAGGTATAAAACCAAATATATATATAATTTCCCAATAATGATCTGCCAATATTAAGAACCATTTTTGGCCCCTAAATCCTTATAAGAACACATAACTTCAAAGTACGAACACTCTGTAAAATGCGAAAAGTCTATACGTTTTTGGAGGAACACATACTAAATATATGTTCTAAGCTGCGTTAATGAAATTTGAGTACTATAAGACCCATTCTGACTCTAAAAAAAAAATAGAATGAAAATATATATGTAATCTTCTTTCTGGTTAACAGCTGAGTTTTGGAACTTGCTTATTACTGATTATAATTATGCAACTATTATTGCAACCAAGTGTAAAGTACAAATATGAGTAAAAAGATAGGAAGTGAAACAGTAAGCAAGGAATAAACTGATTAACTTCTAACAGTTTTGGCCCTCAGGGCTCTGCAATAAACCATGGATAGAGGGCTTTAAATGAAAACTAGAACATTATTTTTTTCCCCCTACTGTTCATATTTACTCTGCTATTTGCGTACTTTAGGATTCAGCACTGGAAACCAGTGATTTAAAAAAAGCCTCCCATTGAAAGATACAGTATAAAGTTGAAAACCCAAAATTGCAACCTAGATTATAAAATGTTACACCTGACATCTCTCATCATGGTTCATTTGTTTTAAATGGATGAAGTTCTGCTTCTCAGGCTTATGCAATTACCATACTTGAAGGACAGTAGCTGCAGTTTAGAAACTGGCCTGAACCTGACAGTTTTTGATTTACCTACATAACTAATGGATTTTTGAAATAATAGAGATGTTAACACTAATGGATCACATTACTACCCTCCCTCTATTAATACCTGACATCTTCTTCTATAATTTGTCTTTTCTCCTTGAAATAAACTAACTCCAAAGGATAAAATTTAAAGAAAAAAAAGGAAAACAGGGTAGAGACTTACAAGTCTTTTTAGCTTACATACAAAGTACTAATGAGGAAGTAATTGAAGAAAACAGCTCATTTTAGGTAATTTGGTTTACAATTATTTACTTACATCCATATCATAATAAATGGTTAACTAGTGACAAGATTTCTGTGATCATAAAGCAATAAATTCCTCTTCTTTTGGTCAAGGTATTACAACCCTATCATAAACTCTAAACTACAAAGGGCAAAGGAAAAATGTTCCTGGACAATGAAGGCATTTGCCAGGTTACAGTAGTGCAGACTTACACAAAACGTGAGAAATACTTGTGTAAAATGAAAGCCAAATTAGAAGAGAAACCATAAGAGACTGTGGACTCTGAGAAACAAACGGAGGGTTTTGGGAGGGGGGGAGGGAGTGGGGGGGGATGAGTGAGCCTGGTGATGGGTATTAAGGAGGGCACATATTGCATGGAGCACCGGGTGTGGTGCATAAACAATGAATCTTGGAACACTGA